CATAGTAGCAGATGGGCAACTGCAAAAAATGGGTCATTGCTGGAATTGTTCCACTAATTCTGATAGCTGAGTAGCTGATGGCTGGTTGGTGTAGATGAGTTATAAGTTATAGCCTCCCCTAGCAAACACGCGGTGCTGCAGTGAAAACAAACAAAAGATACGTGGCATCTAGGCACTGTGGCATGCATCCCACCTGTTTCTCGTAAACATGTATGCCTCACTGCACCTACGTGTACTTACTGTAGAATCACAGAATCCCAGACTGGTTTGGGTTGCACAGGAACTTAAAATAATCCAGTTCCAACTCCCTGCCACAGGCAAGGACACCTTCCACTAGCAACTTCCAGGTTGCTCCAGGCCCTGTTGAAGCTGACTACCAGGGATAGATCATTGATCACTTCTTTGGGCAACCTGTTCTAAACTTGGAACAAAGTTCAGTTTCACCTTCCACTTGTAATGGTGTATCTCCAGTACAACCTCTTTCACTTTGACAGAACTACTAACACTGTGTACCAGCCTTAGTGACTTCAACTTTGTTTTCTACCACAAATCTTTGTGGAAAAGGAAAATTAAAAAATTACTAAGAAGAAAGCTTCAAGTTCTCTTACTTTAAAATAATTAGCTTCCTTTTTCCCCACCTGAAGTCTAAACAACTTCTCTTTTCCCAAGGCCACTGTTGCACTGTTTTCTGAGTGTTGTACTAAACCAGCCAGCAGCACAAAACACCAAGTGTAAGAATAAAAGCGCCTACAGGATGTGGTTTTGAGGTGGTGGGAGATGGGCTGCTCATTTCTTTACTAAAAGCACTATTGCTGGAAGCAGTAACACTTGGTCAGAAAATCTCAGGATGGTGGGTTCAGGTTCAAACAGCACTACTACAGATATTCAGTGTGCTGTATATAGAATCATAGAATGGTTTGGGTTGGATAAGTTGGTTGGATAAGATAATATAGTTCCATCCATGGGCAGGGAAGCCTCACACTAGACCGTGTTGCCCATATGCAATGTGAATGCCCCAGGTGTGTGGGCAATAAGCGTAAAAGCCTTAGATATGTATTGTTAGGAGAGATTCCTTAAAATTCCACCCACCAATCCATACAGACCTGTGTTGTCACAGAAAGGAGGGTACCTTTCATCACAGACTCAGGAGGAGACTTACTTTGTTTGTGGTCCAACAACAGCTCATTTCTTAGCAGTCAGTGTACACTTTGTTTTCTTCAACTTGGGCCTTACTCATTTGGGATTTGTATCATTCAGTATGAAGCCGTTTTGGAGTGAGTGGGAATACCGGCAGCAGTTGTTTGCAGCATCCACTGACGTTGTCTTTCTGCTTTCTTCTCAGTCTAGTGGAGTAGCAGCGCTTGTTGCTGTTCTTGTGTTGTTGCTGTTAGTGGCACTTGCTCTGCTCTGGTGGTTCTGGCCCCTCTGCTGCAAAGTGGTGAGTAAAGACTGTTGGAAATTGTCAATGCATGTCTGACTCATGATGATAACTCATAGGGAAACTCAGGCTGGGAAACACAGATACCATGGGAAACAGGTTAATTAACAGGAGAGCTACATGTGACATACGCTGTCTATTGAGGGAGGTTTCTGTCATTGTCAGTACACACTAAATGGAAGAAGAGACCAACTTCAACGCTGGGGGCTGCACTCTTAGCAGTGCTTCTGGCTTTCTGAGACCTGCACACAGGGAAACGAGCACCAGCATGCTGCTGTGATGCTCATTGGCTTTCTACTGAGTGAGCACATGTTCTATTTCTGTAAAAGTCTTCCATAAAAGCCTTTTATTATTTGGAATTTGTTTGCTGTAGTGGTATGAACATGTTACCCTGAAATCAAGGATATTTTAGAAGTAATAGCACTTAAAATTGATATTTGTAGTCCATTAAGGGCTCTCAAGTTAGAAATCCCGTATTGTCTTAATAATCCTTTGCATACATTGCATCTCTCTTCATCAGAATGCATGTTTATTATTCATCCAGTTCAATGACAGTGCTGAGGACTTGGGGAATGGAAATTGTTTCCAGGGTGTCACTGTACTCCTGATCTTGTCTTGGGGACAGCAGAAAAACACGTTTCTGATTCTTTCCTGACCATGAAGCCCTTGGGTGTGGTCTGTCAGACCTCAGGCTATCCTAGGGCAAGAAGTCCTTAGCTCCCATCTGCATCTTCATGGTCTGGGGTTTCTGTGTCCTCTATGAACTCACCTCTGATAAGAAGACTCTCTTCTGTCTCATTCTTTGAAGTACAGCCCCATCACAAATCTCAGGAGTTTGCCTGTTAGCTGTTTTACTTCAACTTTGTTTTCTATCACGAGTCTTCTGTAAAAAAGGGCAATTCAAAATCGCTAAGAAGAAAGCTTCCAATTTTCTTAGTTTAAAATAATGAGGTAACCTGAACTTATAGACCGTCGTCACACTTCTTAGTTTCTATACTTTCCAACTGTAGAAAGCAGCTACAACTAGGCTAGTTTGTCAGAGCTCTCAGTACAACTTACCTTAGTAGGGATTGTCACTAGCTGAATATGACTGTCAGAATATAATCCATGTGTCTTCAATTTATGTTAGCCCAGAATCAGTCTTTTGCATCTGGAAGTGCAATCGATCACACCATACTCAGTTGTGCATGCAGTTTTCATCGTCTGCCAAGTTGATGTTTGAGGGATTTTTTTCAGCATCAAGTTTACACATGCAGTGAAAAAAATCCAAATGCTCTTCATATTGGTCAGTGTTCCCAAGTCAGTGCTTGTTAGCAGTAGTCATGCTGTAGTACAACTTCCTATACTGTGCATTTTCCTTTCATTACAGTAAGAAGTGACTTCAGTATTTCATCCTCTTGAGAGGAGGAATTCTCTTCCCAGTGGTGACTCTGTAATGACATTCAGTAAGGTGCTTTCTGGATTTTTTGATGTTCATTAAAAAAAAAGGTCAGATCTATAGTTCTACAGGGTTGATTTCCAGTCCTTTTGATAGTTATGATAGTGTAATACATTAAAATATTAGCTGCACCAGCCTGTGCCTGTTACAAATGAAAGGAGTTCAGTTTACATTACAGGTCTACATCAACACATGCAGAGCTCTGGAGGGGTATCTCAGGTAGGAGCCAATTCATGGGAAAAGATACCCTTTATAATCAATTACAGAGTGAAGATTCTACATTGGGTGCTAAGGATGCACTGTGGCATTAAGGCAGGGTTCTTTCTGGGCTGATCTCTTGTGTGGAGCTACATCTCCACAAAGCAGCACTGAGCTGTGAGAAAACATCCCTTGGTTGTCACTCACCTTGGGTTTAAGTCTGTTCCTTTCTGATGCTTACTTTAAGGGATGGTAACTTACCTATCTTTTCTGGAAATAGTGTTTAATACAGGGCTAATGTCCTTGATGAGAGGTAGCAAATCAGGGACAGGCAGGACCTTCTCTGACTCTGCTTCCCTGGCAGAGTGCAGCATCTGGTTTTGTGGGACAAAGAATAGGAACAAAGGAGAAAACAGCAGCCCTCAAGCCTTGTAAGCTTCCCATGCTTCAGAATCAAATGGGAGAGAGGGAGGCAAAAGGCGTCATGGACAGAACACAGTGAGTATCTGGAGCCACATGAGCACATAATCCCTTCCACAATGAGCCTCAGCTGGTTTGGGCACTCCATTCTTGATGGGCCTCAGTCCTGACTGTGTTCCTTGCTGTAAGGTCGATGTTGGGGTAGGTGGACTCCTTTTCCTTATTCTTCCTCCCTCCCACCTTTTTTTTTTTTTTAAGGCAGTTCCCTGTTGACAGTTCTTTCACTCTTCTTCCCTCAATATCAGAGCATATGATCGCATCAAGCTGGCTTCAGGCTCTGGTGCTGACATTTCCTAATGCCCACATCATGCGAACATTTGAAAAGTGTTAATGAGCAGATCAAAAGGACTGTTGCCTGAAGCAACTAACTTTTTTTCTTTCTTTAAGAAGTCGGCTCTCCTCCAAACTCAGTTCTTCATTCTTTGCAACTAAATAAATGAGATGCAGCCTTGCATGGTGATGATGATGCTGATAAGCCAAAACAAAATTAGGAAGTGAACCCTCGCTACCTGGGTTTAATAAGACAGCAGCATTATTCAATCTTCCCTATTTAAACTATCTGAATCAAGTTCAGGAAAAGGTAATTTGCAGTATTAAGATCTCCAGTATGTGCAGTTTCATGCTACATTTGCACTCTTTTCTGCCAAAGCTGCATTGGTTCCTTGGATTTCTGTTTCTTAAAAATGGCTTTCTACTAAAAAATGGCTTAAAAGTGGCTTTCTATTGATTTCACTTGAAATACCACACAAGACTGAAAATAATCCTTGTGTGTGTGCGTGTGAGAGAGAGGGAGTGTGTGAGGAGCCTGTAGAAACATAAGGATGCAGGCATTTGCATTCCACTTCTGTCAGCAGGGGTGAGTATCTGCTACTCAAAGCAGACTATTTTCTCACACCACTGTCACATTTAAAACAAGTTTCATTTTCTGAAGCTATTAGAAATAGGAGCTAATTAATGTGTTGGTTAGCTACAAACCAGAGTGTACCCTGTAACTCCAGGGAGCTTAGCAGCTGGCACAGGATTAGATCCCTCATTTAGAGAATCAAACGAAAACTGCCACTGACATGGGACTTTTGAAGCCCAGTGAGGTACACCTGTAGTTCTTCTTGGTTCACTGGGGTAGAAACGTTGATTCCGTAAATATTGATATGCACAGGGCCCAAGTGAACTTTAGTATGTGCCACAAAGAAGTTTGTCTCTGGGGGAGATTACAAAACTTCAGAATTGTAGAACTGTAGAAAGTGGAGTGATAATACCACTTAATGCATATTTATATATGCATATAATACCATTTAATGCATATTTCTATAAAGCCACAAGCTAGCTAGGCCTTCCCCCTGTAAAGCTTGCAGTCTTGGCAGCAAATTCCATTTTTTGAGCTAATCATTAGAGATGGGCAAAAGGGAAATAAGAATGTGAATTAAAGAAGATAAGGTGACCCTTAATACACTGAAATACTGCTTTACCATTTCCAGTCTTTTAATTGCTTTCAGTGAGAATTAAATATCTTCATGCCCTGGAAAACCTTGCTCAGCATCCAAGTATCTCACAGAATCTGTCCTGTGATCCCTCTGTGTTGTTGGCTTTTGTAAAATGAGGGCAGTAATTCCTAGCTGCTTCTCAGGAATGTTTTGCTGATTAAATAATCCATTTCTATTAAGTAACCTGAAAATTCCTGATGGGTAGAAAGAAAAAGTATTCAGCAGTAATTCATGAAAAGTAATGTCTGACATCATAGCAGCAAAGGATGTCTGGTTAAAATCCATAGTTGGCTTTTCAGTCCACTCCAAGTGCTCTGAGCTTGCTTGACAAACAGTTAAGTATCTCAAACCTGAAGTGCTATGGAAAAATATTTTTAGGCGTGCCCTAACTTCTCTTATCATAATTCCTGTATCCAGTGCTAAAAGTCCACAGGCAGTAACTAGGGACTATCTTGGTAGCACTGTGTCTTGAAATGGAAATCAAGAAGGAAAACTCTTGATTATTGGTTAAGAAAAGTACATTTCTTTTATGTATGAGGCTATACATCTCTGCAGTGACATTATTTATCATGGACAGTGGTGGCCATGTTTATATAATACTAAGGCATAGCAGAAACAGACTCCTTGATACTCATGGGGCATTTTTTAGTCATTACTATACAAAAGTCAAGTACAAAAGATGACTTGAGATCACTAAAATACTTTTTAGCTCACAGATCTGCTTTTTGCATTGAAGAATGGCTGACATTCACTTTTTATCTGAATTCATCCTCTTCCCCTCCCTATTCTGCTTTGTGGATTCCTGTCAGTAGCAAGGAACTCCCTGAGATGTACAGTATGTATGTGAGAAAGAGAACAGAAAGAAACTATAGGTAGAGGTTTAAATATAGCTGTAAGTAAATTATCCTAAGAACAGGTCTTATCCAGAAGCCATTTGAGAAGCCTTATGACTCTCCCTGCTGCTGGCAGGAGTGCCACACTGAACAGTCAAGGAGCTACATACTTGAAATTATTAGATCTCAAATGTGAGATCTGTGGAAACGCTCTGAACGTCTAGAAGTGAAGCCTGACCTACTAGCAGGCATTTCACACTTATCATTCTGCCAGAAATTATTCAGCAGCATGGCACAAGGAAGCTGGCATCTTGGCCGCGGATTAATCAAGACCTCACATAGACCTTGTGATGCTTTTCCTTCCAGGCTTGCTGATGAACTCCATAGAGTTTAATCACTGGCTATTACTTAGAATGACTGAATCTTATCTGGTCAGGAAGCAAAGTGGCAGACACGTCTGCCCAAAGAGTGTCTGTCAGTCAATGGATGTTATTTTCTATTAGATGGATGGTGTTAATTTCCAGAAGGCCTTGATGATCGATACCCAAGAGACTTTGCAGCAGCAGTTGCCAGGTTGCAAGCAGATGTAGGGGACTCAGATGGAAAGAGTTCACTCTTTAAATTTTCTGTTGGGTTTTGGATGCTGCCAGTGCAGTTTCTTACGCTTTTTTATGTTTGGCTCTTTCAGGTCATCAAAGATCCCCCTCCATCTCCACCGGCTCCCAAAGAGGTATGGTATGATGGTGCTTCGCTTATCACACTGCTTAACACCACACCACTCTGTGCTTGCCTGTGTTCTGTGACTTCAGCTCTTTCTCCTAGCTTCTTCGAAGGAAAGAACTGCCCTGTGGGAAGCCTTAAGCTGAGAGCAGGATGGCTGAAGTCCAAATCTCTGTTCTGCCTCACTCATCTCAGTGTGGCATGAATTAAGGCCAAATTCACAGAAATGTTTCAGGGCTTTATCCCAGGATAGTTGAACATTATTTTTCCCATTCTGCAGCGAAAACAGAAAGACTGACAAGCTCTTGTATAACAATCAAAAGATTCCTGTGTGACTTAAAGAGCATTTTCCCACAGCTTTGCCATTCTAGACACTGAACAAGCCTTACAAGGGAATTTCTCTCCCTCTTACAGGCAGTAATACGCTAGAGGATATTATGGTGTCTTCAGTATTTTTCCCCCTTGGTCTTGATATACATGATTGCTTGAGCATACTCAAGCATACTCTGACAGTTAGGTCCATGATGAGGCACACTTGACTGAGCTGAGGCAGGCAAGAGTGAGTTTGACAAAGGCTGGCTTAGGAAACTGTGTAACCTTTATCTGTGGATCTGCTGAATACCGTCTGTTGAATCCAAACATGTAGGGCTGATGATCTGTCTCGCGGAAGACATTATATTTTCTGTAGAAGAAGCCACTCCAAATTCTTCTCTTTGTGTATGTTTTGCTTATTTTTATTTGTGGAAAGGAAAAGGATGAGGCAAACAAATGACTGCCAGTAGAATGCACAGATTCTTCGTTTGGACTTTCCTGGTGGTCACCACCAATGCTTTTGTCACGCTAAATACTAGAAGTGCTTCCAAACATGACCAGATTTCGTTTGGGAGTTGCTGAACACTTGGGGAAGTTAAATATCTGAACTTTCACACCTGACACAAGAAAACTTACTCTCTGTGGACTCTAGTGAAATATAGTTAAAAAGACAGTGGGGGAAGAAAAAATTACCTTTTGAAGTAAATGTTGCTTGATTTTATTGACAGGAAGAAGAACAAGAGCCCTTGCCTACCAAGAAGTGGCCCACAGTGGATGCTTCCTACTATGGTGGACGAGGAGTTGGAGGAATTAAAAGGATGGAGGTTTGTGCCATGGGGAGATGCCAATTCACTGACACACAAGCTCTCTGAGGCTACAAGTGGTGGAAACAAAGACTTTCAAAGTATACTGGAAATACAAGGGCATAATATGTGCTTCCTTCCAGTGACATAAGCCTTGAAAACTTTTACAATATCCAACAATTTTGACCTTGCCTATGAAAGAACAGCTTTGAATAGTTCCATTTGACTGGAACTTTAAATAGCTGCCTGAAGACATGCTCTTTCCATCAGGCTAATGAGAGAGTGAGAGCCTTTTCTCAATGTTTTGGAAGAAATTACAGTGAAACATAAGTCCTCCAACTGCGGGCCAGCCAAATGCACTGACAATGGTGATGCGAAGGAGAGGCTTGATCCCAAAGGAACTCAGAGCGACAACAGTGCCTGTCTTTGAAGAGACACGATAGCATCATGTTAATTAAAACAGAATGAAAAATGTGCATCCTTATGGGCACGTCCTTATGTCAGATTTTATAGTCAAGTCAGCCTTTATGGCATTTGCAAAGCAATTTTCTGCAGCTTTTAACTTCATTCTCCATCTGAAATACCCACCTAGGTCATACTGATGTATCTTGATGAAACTTTAAAGATATTGGCCTAAGAGTCAGCCTTGCTTGAGTTCTTTTTAAACACAGCAGAAGAACATGCAAGTTTAAAGTTGTGCTGCTTAGATGTGTTTCCTTCAGCAGTTCAGCATTGCTAATTTAGAAGTGATACAGATTCTAGAAAAAGAAAACATTCTGTGCAGTTCTTTTCAGGGACAAACTAGATCATGCTTTTCAAATTAAAGAATACAAGTCTGGATTTTTAATGGGAGCCGTGATGAAGCTCTGGGAGGGGTTTCAGGGTTTAAATCATTACAGTTTGTAAATGGGATCTTGCACAGTGAAACAGAAACCTGATAGATAGCAGATGAGCACAAGTAACATTGGTACTATAAAGAAATCCTTGTTCATCATGTGGCAAAAATACAGTATTTCCTCTTCAGAGCAGAGAGCAAAAAGTAATGATGAGGTTAGAAAACTTGGTCTGTGTGAGGAATTGTGTGCAGGACTAAGGGCTAAAGATGCAAACCAACTGAAACTGCTGATAAGGCAGTCATGGTCTCTTGAAGGGAACCTCATTCTTGGAAGCTGTGTCTGTGTCCTTCTATGGGATGCAAGAGTAGTAACAAATTTTGGGGTTGGGTGCCACATACTGAATGCCTGAGCATTTGAGTATGGAGCTTTACTTCTGTCCTGTTTCACTCCTGCCTCCCCCAGTAGCTTCACCCGTTTGTAACAGTCCAGCATGTAGCCAGCGTTGTTCACTCTTCCTAGATCTGCCTTTTGGCATTACTTTAAAAGTTTATGATGCCATTTCTACGCCACCTATTACAGGCAGTCAGTTTTTATGTGAAAGTTGTGTTGTCATACTCCACAAATCCTGGGTTCTTTTGGGTGAAGTCGCTTTAATCCAAAGGAGAAGGTCATCTTAGCAGCAAGGAATCCACCTTCTTTCTCTAAATGGTTTTAACAGTGTTTAAAATAGTTTTTTAACAACCTCATAAAAAACACCATAAAAGTACCATTGATCACACTGCAAAACACAGATGCATTTTAATGAGGCAGCAGGGCCTACTTGGACATGAAAGCCCATTCTAATATTGCAGAGAGAGCATTCCCCAATGAGGAAAAGAAATTAAATAGCAAGCCAAACAGTAAGGTCCAAAATAACAGAAAGGTCCAAAACAATCCCGTTCCTGAGAAACAATGGTGTATTTTACCAAGGTGAGTTACAATATTACAGACCAAATTAAGCTCTGTTGTAGTTTGCTACTCTCACTCTTTATACTGAGATTACATGGGTAAAAACGCACTTCCTGATGGTGATAAAATGACAAGATTTTCCTCCAGAGTATTTCGTTTTTCTGAAGGGGCCTAGACTCTGGCGTGCCTGCGTATTTTCTGCACTTTCTCTGTCAGCAGATTGTGCATATGCTGCTGGTGAGGATGAAGTCAGGCTGCTTCCTTCTCCCATCCTATGTCATACTTATCCCAGCACATTACAGAGTGGCCCTAGGAGGACCTGGAGAAGTCCTCCCAATCCCTCTGGGCAACAGAAGGAGGACCAGGGGCATGTCTTCTTCCTGGTGAGCAAAACAATTTTGCACCCCTTGGCAGTGGAACAGTTGTTGCACCCCAGTTCTTCTGCCTACTTTTCAAGTGCTTGAACTGGCAGGTAGTGAGAAAGAACTGACATGCACTTACCAAGCAGCTTGCAGTGATGCTCCTAATGTTTTCCTTCAGGGTGGAAGGTCAGTCTTGTCTGACTTTCCTTACTTAGGTTCTTCTCTCTTCATGCCAGGAGATCCCTGAGAAAAAGGAGTATGCTGGTGAGGTCCTGCAGGAGCCTGTTTTCCACTAAGTTTCTTGACTCATCAGCGTGTCACATTTACCCAGGATGTCATGTCAGAATTTGATTTCCTGAGTTTAGGTCTGTCAGGTCCTACTTACAGGCTACATTGTAGCAGATGGCATGATTTAGGAAGTCTTGCACTGAAAATAATCCAGGCCAGTTTTACCAAGAACTTCCAAACTCCAGGTATAGCTTTTAGATGCTCTTTTTGGGTAATAAAGTAACAATCTCATCTAGGTTTGCTTCTTTGTACAATACAGCAAACATCCTTGCTCAAATTGCTTCACAGTGTTTCCAATGAGAAGATGAAATAAGATTACTGTAGTAAGACAAATCATCTCTCTTAGAGGGAAGTTTGGTTTGTTTTGTTATTTTTTTTTCCTGTATTTCCTCTTTACAGCATAATAAGTACAACCTTTTATGGAAATGGAAATAGATGCTTGTCTCACCAAGGGCAATAACCCAGGTGTCCTTTCTCTTTAAACTCTTTGTATATATTCTGTACACTTAGGGCAGTGATCAAATATACATTGCTACATATTTTACATTAACTTACTATTCATGTTAGACTACTTTGTCTGCATTTGCTCCAGTATGTATCTTCATGCAGGACTACTTGAAACCTGAGTAGTTTCAAGGAGGTTCTGTTAAAACCTGCTCAGGTATTGCCTTCTATTTAACTGGGGTTCTCAACAAACATGCTGTGTTAGGAAATCTGGGGTGACAAAAATATAGGCTGTCATCAGTGCCAGGTTAAGGTCTGGTATTCTAAGATAAATCTGAACTAGAAATAATACCTTTACATCATTAATTAGAAAAGACTTCCCAGATTTCCTGTCTCCTATACAGGCTGTCTGCATGGTAGAGTTGAATTGTCTTTCAGTATTTCTCTTGCCTTTTCACTACTGAGAGTGCCTGAATGAAGAGGGAACATTTTCCTTAGTACCTCTCCTCTTATTTATTCAGAGCTTCTTCCAAATTTAAACGTTTTCAATTACTTCTGTTATTTGCAACAGTTCCCTTGTCCATTGCATACAGCACATTCACATCTGAACTCTGGCTTTCCTTAGGTTCGCTGGGGTGATAAAGGATCCACTGAAGAAGGGGCTAGATTAGAAAAAGCAAAAAATGCTGTGGTGAAACTCCCAGAAGAACCAGAAGAACCTTTTCATCCAAAGCCACCTAAACCAAAGCCTACCTCACCAGCCATTCAGGAGAAGTGGTATACACCAATTAAGGTAATCTTTGCAGTCTTCAATATAAGGGAATTCTGTGCTAAAGGCTGGATTCTACCTTACCAGTCTTTGCATGCTGAAGTGTAGATTATTTTTCAAGTATTCACATCCAAGTGAAATGTACTATACTCAAAGCAAACACCTACTCAGGATGAATAGCAAGAACAGTTTTTAGCCCCAAATACACTACATCATTAATGCCACATTCTGTTTTCCTTTTCCTGGTAAGAGTACTAAAATCCGAGGGGCCTTGGCTGGCATTTGGTCTATCTCAGTGTTCAAGGCTGGGTTAGACAGAGCCTTGGGTGACATGGTCTAGTGTGAGGCATCCCTGCCAATGGCAGAGGGGTTGGAACTAGATGATCCTAAGGTCCTTTCCAACCCAAACCATTTTATGATTCTGTGATTCTGTAACTAACTAAGCCTAACTCACCACCTTTTGTAGCTGTTTTAAACACACATACTTACCAAAACCATACAACCAAGAAAAGCAAAATATTATATAAAACAATATAATGCAAAAAGTCTGATAAACAACTGAAACATAATTAATGGCATAAAATAAAGACACTTATTTCTGTAGGTGCCGTGAGTCGTCTAAGAGCAGACAATACATGGGTTTACCTGGGCGTATGGATGTATCTGCCTTCACAGCTGTATACCACATCCCTTGCAGTTCGAAGGCTGCTTGAGAACGACCAATTTGCTGTATACATGCTGTAAGAACAAATACATTGATGTGAGAGAAAACCCAGATGAACACATGGCAATTCAGCCCAAAATATTGGCAAATAAACATATTACTTCTAGATGGCTCAGAAGTAAATGTGGGTTAGGTCACAGCCACTGCAGGGTAGATAAGAGCACAGTACCTGCCATTCACTGATGCAGCCACATGGTGTAGGTGACATAGCTGAAATTTGTCTGGCCCTAGGGAACTGGTGCTCAGTGCTGCCAGTACATTTGTCCATGGATCAACGCGGATGGTAACTTAGCAAGTGTGGTGTTCTCTCCATTGACTGATTTTGTTGTACTGAAAGTCCTGTTGCTCTGTTGCTACAGGGTCGACTCGATGCACTGTGGGCACTGTTACGAAGACAGTATGACAGAGTCTCTTTGGTGCGACCACAGCAAGGAGATGAGGTTTGTGTGTGGTGTATCTGCTATGGTTAGCAAAAGAGGGGCGTGTCACAGCCAGGCTTCAGCACCTGCTGAACGTTCACAATCTTGTGACATTAACTAAGGAAAGCACTGCAGCCAAAAGAATGGCACAGCAGGAAATATAAAGCATTGGGGAAACAAAGGGCATTGAGAAATGCATCACACCAGCCCCAAGATATTGCAGAAACATAGATCTCCTGAAAGCAGAGTGAAGGACTCTTTACTTTGTGTGTGTTCAGCTAGAAAATGAAAACATGGCACACGCTTCATTCAGTGTAAACTCTCTGTAACAAATACCAAGTCTTATAATCAGCTATTTGTAAGAGTAGAGTCTGGCAATCAGAACACTAAAACCACATCAAATTGAAGTGACCATCTGACTTCCATGCAGTCTGCTTCTCATAGCCTTGCACTTCGTACCAGAGGCAGCTTTTACAGAAAGGAAAAGGTAAGGAAACCTTTTCCTCAGACAATCCTTTCTTCTTCACCTGGGATCCATGAAAAGTGCCCTCCACTACAAAGGCTGCTATGACTGGGAAGCAGAGTTGTTACTTGAACCTTTTATAGTGAAACTGCATTGTGTATTTCTGGTTGTTATTCCTCACAAAATTATTATTTTAAATCTTAGCATTCATCTGAGGAACTGATTTATCTTAAAAATATTTCTGTCCTCCTAGGACCATTTAGCTTCCCGTTAGTTGCACATCTGAAGAGACACAAGAGCAGATGATTTCCTGTAAATGAGGTGGCCCTGGATGGGTGTTGACAGGTCAGGTTCTTTCACAAAGCAGTAGTGTGGAAGAACACTTATATCTGCAACATACACCATAAAGGTGACATGAAACAATTAGAGGAGTTAAAAGGAGTCTGTTACCTTTGGGAGAATGAGGAGTAAATTGGTGTTTGCATTTTTTTCTTGGGATGTAGTTTGGTACTGTTCTAAAGGAGGAAAAGGGGAGACTGAATTAAGACTGGTGTTGAAAGAAGCAGAATGTCGAGAGTGCAATGCTGGAAATAGCACAGACTAATACTTGTGTTAGCATTCTAGTTGTAGCAGAATTAACTAACTAACAGCAGAATTAACAACAACAAATTACATAAAAAATAAACAATACAATACAGCTTAACAGGTAAAAATCAATGTAAATAGGAACATAGAACTGTTGCATGCCCAGGCTAAAGATGTATCAGCCAGGCCCTGTTTTAAGGATTTCTGACTGTTAAGACAGGTGGGTACCTTAAAAGTTGCCTGCCAGGGAAGCCTTTGCTGAGCCACCATGGAGTCAGGCATACGCCTTCTCAGAACTCGACAGGATGACACTGATCCACATCCTGTTTTCTGAAAACAGAGAAGTAGCTCACTCACCATCAGTTTCCTCACTAAAAAAGGAGTAGCATTTGTAGTGATGACTAAAGGCTGAATAAATGGTTGTTAAGGTGTGACATGGGGCACTGTGAGAGTGCAAATTGTGTCTAGTATGATATTTTTTATCTTGGGGAGTGTGTGTGTGTGTGTGTGTGTGTGGACTCTACTGTTTCCTGCCTTGCTAGTCAGATCTCATGGTGTACCCTGATGGGTTTAAGTCACATGTATGGCCAAGCAGTCACACATATGCACAGCAAGGCACACACAGATGTAGTTATGTCAGAACACTGTTACGGTGAACAGCAGCCACATAGTTGTTTTGCTTTGTCGTCTTTCTTTTATGGTTTAAGAACTCAGTAGTTGCCATTTGTAGAAGAATTCACTGCTGCATTGAAGTCCTTGATCAAGTAATTAAAATTTAGGCATGAAGTATCAAAGATCAAAGCAGAGTGAGCCATTTCTTCCTTCTCCCTCTCATCTCCTCTGCCATCTCTGCCACATTGCCATGTGATGCTGAAGGTGGCCTAGTCTGAGGACTGAATACTGTCGCTTTGATTGTGGAAGGAAGTCCTTGGAGTGGTCCATTTTTCAGCTATCAATCCATGACATTAGGGAAGCTTGTGCAGGTGTGAGCTAGCAGGTTGTCACTGACATCTGTTCTGAGTGGAGGCACAGGTCCTCGGCAGCCTGCAGCAAGGCTGCAGGACTGTCAACAGATGTAGTTAAGAGTGGCAGAACAGTTTTGGTCTCACATTTGCCGCCTGGGGGCTGAAACACTGAAGGTAGAGTGGGGGTGGACACAGCTGTGCTCCCAAACATGCCTCAGGCACAAATGAAGAGATCCAATATAGTTTGACTCTGTTGTGGTGGAGAGATGAGGACAGAGAGCCACTTCAGAGATAACTGCGCTACAACATCTGCTGCCAAGTTTCCAGGGAGTGACAGGGGACAGCAGGTACAGATCGAAGTCCCCACATAAACAGCCTCCATTAAGCCATGAACTCTTTTGAAGGGCTCCCATCAAACATCATAGGGGAGTCCACAAGGGGAGATTTTGTTTTCAAAGCCATGTTTTGTTTTCTGCACTAACTAGCTAATTTATAAATGATGCATTACCCTGTGTTCATACTCCTGTCTGTACTTCCTTTCCTTTTGTTATTAAAGGGGCAGAAAAGAGGGAGCCACAGTAGTGTTGAGGTACTTTGATAAAGCAGTTAACTGTTTGAGGATCTTATCTGAGATTGTGGCAACCTTCAGTGTGCAATGTTGCTACAGCCAGGAAGCAGAGTGGAATGCATGTGCCATTGCAGTGCCATTGCCTCTTCAAGGGAATCGTTACTGCATGAGAACAGACCTTGGCACAGGTTCTCAGTCCTAGCACCGGGAACTGGTCTTTTCTCCAAGTCCTGGTGTTTGTTTTCTGGTTCATAGCTTAGAACCTGAAGGTAATTGTCAGGTTTCTTCAAATTTGCTATATGACCATGTTGCTTTGTGCAGTTTGATAGTAGCAGAGATTCTGATCATGTGCATGTTGATGCACACAAATTTCCTTTAAGTCCACAAAAAAGCTTATGGCACTTACATTTAAAATGTTACCCTATCAATATGCAAGTATGTGGACTGGCAAAAGGGAAAAAACATCAGTAGCTAATCACAGAAGAATTTCTATAATAGAATTAGAGAATAGCTTTTAATGTTACAAAATGGCCTAATAAAAAGGAGGACACTTGTTTTTAATTTTTAACCTATTTATTAGCATTTGCCTGCTTGAAAGATTCTTTCATAATAATGGCTGCAGAATTTACACAAACATCTGTTTAAACTCGTGTTACTTTGTGAGCATCTCTACGGTACAGAAATGAATTATACTATGCATTGTGACTTGGTTAGCACCACACAATTCACAGTTAGAAACACGTTGGCAGTATTCTGTTCTCTGAGACAAATCGCATGTTACTGTTCCCTTTGTGTTTCTTCAGTAATTCCTAAGCTTGGCACAGGCAGGAAATAATAAATCATTAATTGTTAGAAGGCTGAGGCTGTAGGTGCCTTACAACTGGGAACAAACACTCCGTAATGGCAGTGCCATCATCCCCCTTTGCAGCAGAGCTGCCCCTCAGCCAGCACTGTTACTAGCCCCATGGTTTGTAAGCCAGTGAGCACTGCTGTCTTGCCTAAGGGGGTAACGGGAACAGGAATGAGACTAGTGGTGGCAGCATTTTTTAGTTTACTTCTGTATTCTCTAAACCCAGAACTATTTGTCCATTCTGTAACCAAGGGGGACCTCCTTGAAGAAAATGAAGGTGATTTGGCTCCTTTTTTAGCACTGCAAGTTGCTGAAATGCATAGAGAAATACCAAGTTACAGTTAGAGAAAGGTTACTGGGGCTGCTTAGAAGTAGTATGTGTTTTGGCATAAACTGCACTAGCAGTAATTCAAACTACAGCATAAGACTCGGTTCTATGGATCTTCTCCTTCAATGATAGTATTCCCATTGAGCAAAGCATTTAAGGTCCTTTCCAACCCAAATCATTCCATAATTCTATAATTCTATGATTTTATGATTTTATGAAAAGCAGTTGTCCCTCAGCATGCCTAAAAGCACTGCAATTCTTCCCCCCCCCCCAAGTGTACTAACAAGAAATTATTTTATCTGGCAATACAGTTTCTATTAGTATCGGTTTCATTGGGTATGATTCAAAAAGGAAGAAAAAAAACAAGTTTGTTTTTTTAATTCCTCAAACATCTTTTTCATGACGTGAAGTACACTAAAAGCTGTTGTAGTTAATAGCTACCTGGCTGAGAATGAAGAGGGGGCAGTGTGTGTGTAACCAAACCCGGTTGTAAAGCGCACTTCCCAGCTTGGGCACAGCTTCCTGCAGTTGATGTTCATGACGAGTTTCTTATTAGTCCGGTTCAGGAAGAGACCTTAGTTTCACCTTACGCAATGAGAAGCAAGCTGACAGGTTCATGTAGTCGCTCCTCTCCAGAAGAGATGTGGGAGCTTTAACTGTCTTGGGCGCACAGATTTATGGAGTAGTCCGATGCTCCTAACCAGATTAGTTCCTTTTCCATTAAGTGCTGAAAGTAGGGCAGCTGTCCGAGCGGCTGGTTGTAAATTCGATAATGTCTGCTGTGTTAGTCTGTAAGCTTTTCAGATGAAGAAGGCAGCAGATAACAGGATTAGTTTCATGACCCACGGTTTTCACAGCCCGAGACTCGGGCATAAGGGGATAGAGGATGACTTCTGTCATTAATCTTAATTGATTGCCAAGAGATTTTAAACTGAGTTATTAATTAGGAAGGTCCTTAACACACTGTCTACGTATCAACATCAGATGCTCTTTTGGGACTTTTGGGACATATGGCCTATCTTATATTTACATTCACACAATTTACACATACATACATTTCAGTATGAAGAAATTCTTATATGTATATATGCATACAAATGGCTGTGGGAGCACTTACATGCGCAGAGGCAGCACACTCTCTTTGGCAAAATGTAATGAAAGTGAAAAACCTGCTTTGAACAAAGGTTACATTTCCATACAAGAAACATGTATACCTGTATTTATGGCGATATGTATATTAATCCATTTTGGTTACAGATGCCATTTATCTTGATTACCTTTCATTTGCAGATTTAAGTCATGTTAACACAAGTGTAGCACACGTCTCTGTGCCTCTGGACATTCAGGCACAAATCGTGACTAGAAATGTTACCTTTTTATCTTTCCCAGTTTCGATGAGTTAATGGTTGGGCCTTCACTTTTCTGTTTTCTTATTTTTAAACAAGTTCCTGCTGGACAGATTGTACAAGTAGAAGTGCATCTTTCTATAGCTGCAGCTACCTAACTGTATGATAAATCCCAGTAACATTTACTGAAGTCCTGACTGCAGGAGAAAATACTAAATTATGATTTGATCATATAAACTAAGCAAGAAAACTCTGTGATAGAGTTGCGGCATTTGGATTTTGTTCAGATTCAAACTATACTACACATTTTTGCAGTCTTTTCTTTCTTTACAGAAGATTATTTACATGATTAATCCTAAGTAATGGAGGAGATCAGTACGAATACTTTGTAGAAACAGAGATGAGTGATCATGGAAATCAACGGACCAGGAACTAGAGATGGGAAACTTGGTAACAGGATGAGGTGAAAAGAAATAGGTTAGTTTTTCTTTGACTTCCCTGGGCTACAGTTCTCTAACCAGCAGAAGAAAACATCTTGAAAAGACTATTTTTAGAAAGATTTTTATGTGTCAGTCTCACTTGCACGTAGCTGTGGCAGCCTAGACCTCAAGGAGGTTCGCTTAGGGTGGACTTTTTATACGCTTGTGCTAAACTGGAGCTCATCAAGTTCAGAGTATGTTCAAATATGCCCACCCAGGTATTCACTGTACCAGTGCAAAAGCTCTAAAGCAGTTGTACATGATAATCACTGCCTACATGCAGATTTTTTCATGAGCTTTAATACAATATTCTCAAAAAGAAGGTGAAGTCAGGGCACTGTTCCCATGGCTTGACATTGATTGCATAGCTCATGCAGAATCAAGGAATGAAGAGGAAGGTTAGAAGTTGAGAAGGACTATAGCACATATGCTGCTGAATGTGACAGCTGTATGTTACAGGTGGACAGTGGGGAGAAAAAAGAAGAATAATCATAAAAAATTATTGCTTCTGATCTTTTTCCTGTGTTCCGATAATTCAAAATTATTTCTGTTGTGAAACTCATTTTTCAATGTCCGGGTCCATTTATGGGCTCAAACAGAAGTTCAGGTTAGATCTAAGGAAGAAGTTCTTTACTGCGAGGGTGGTGAGGCCCTGGCACAGGTTGCCCGAAGAAGTGGTGAATGCTCCATCCCTGTCAGTGCTCAAGGCCAGGTTGGACAGAGCCTTGGGTGACATGGTCTAGTGGGAGGCATCCCTGCCCATGGCAGAAGATTGGAGCTGGATGATCTTACAGTCCTTTCCAACCTAAACCATTCTGTGATTTTATGAAAGCCAAGCTCTCCCCAGCATTACAGATTGTAGCGCATCTCTACAGAAATCCTGCTTATTGCAACCAAGAACAACTGCTCATCTTAGGAGACAGATGGTTCGTTGTAGGGCAGATCCTC